TAATTACATTACTACTCAAATAGAAACAAAAAAGTTGGAAGAAAAAATTGAATTACCATTGGTGATGATAGCGTTGGTTTGGGGAGGAACTTTGAATTCCTCAGCTGCACATTTCAAGACAGCTATAAACGGGGCTGCTTTAAGAATATTCAACTTGGAATTTTGAAAATTATATAAAAAATAAATTGAGATTAAAAACCAAAATTTGAAAAAATTAAATCAAGCACTCAAACAAAAAAAGAAAAATAATTAAAAGAAAACTCACACTTTGAAGGAAAGCTTTAGATTAAAGGTAAGAATGACTATGGAAGACACTTTTCAACCACTCATCATTTCCCTTTTTTTTTTTTTAGATTTGTGAAATTTTTTTAAAGATAGAAAAAGATCCGATTATATATATACTCCTCCCAATTCATTCTTCTTACTTTCTCATCCTCTTTCTCTCTTTGTCTTCACTCTTTTTTCTAATAGAATTAAAAAGAAAAAGAAGCTAAACTAAAAAAAAAATGGTGAAATCTCAATAGGAGAGACACCAAGATCTAGTCAATTGGCAACCTTTCCTCTTTTTCTTGCTTAGTCTTCTCCGCTTGTCCCTATTTCTTGTTCTCTTTGTAGAATTCCTAACTCTTTTTGTTCTCTCACTTCGCTTTCCTCTTTCTTTTCTCGACATATCTCGAAACTTCCTCTCTCAAACAAAATCAAGCTATCCAAGTAACCCTAAAACAAATGAGAAATATACTTTTTATGTTTTTATCCAAATTTACCCTTCAATTTTTTTTGCAATATGACCCTATTTAAATATTGTTAATGCTATACATTTAGAGTAATGAGAATGAAAAAGAAAAAGAAATAAAAATATTGAATTCCAATATTCTAAATTCTTTAAGATTTACGTCAACAGATTACAATGATATGAGATATCAATCTAATTCATTTATAAATTATAAATACTATTTAAGGTTCTATATCATACCATTATGAACAAAAGAAGAAGCTACTGATTCAAAGTATCAAGTGCTGCAAAAAATGTTTTCCAATGCTATTGTCATGCATTATGATGAGATATTTTTGTAAAATTGTGGAATGCAAGTTACAAAATTTTAGACCTTACTAAAATTTAATTTTAGTACCCTTTATCTCTAATAAAACAATAAAGCACGCATTGTAAAACAGAAAGCTTGAACTCATCAGCACTTTGGAGCTCCATTTTAATAGCAAGTTTGTTTGGCATGAACTAAGTAATTATTTTAACCCACCTATATGAGCAAAACATATTCTGAGGCATACAACATATAGCATTTGAGAAATAAAGTGAACAACTTTCTAGCTTAAGAAAACCAAGGAACTGATTTTTTCACTAAGGAATAAGATTTTCTTGATATATATTCTTACTATGGCCTCATTTGCTGTGATATATGCTGCAAAGGAAGTTGATAGAAAACCATGAGCAACACAATTCACACAAATATCAAGGGCCATTTCAATTGCGAGAATCTAGAAAAGAATCAAGGAAAACTAAGAAGAACAGGATTTGCAGCAGCAAAATTTAAGGCATTCTTGAATATAGAATTGATATAAAGGAAGAAAACTAAAACAATAAACATTTATCAAGCGTCTTGTAAAACCTTAAACCCTAATCCTAAATCCTAAACCTTAACTCATAGACCCATAAATATATATTAATTGATTGAAATTATTTGTAACTCAACTATTGACTACTAATTTGTAAAACTAATTTAGTGCATCATCCAAAGCCTAGAAAACAGTTGCATACTTATTGTACTTACTATAAAAAAAAAAAAAACACTAACAATGAAAGTATCTTTTTTTTTTTTTTCTTGTAAAACAATTGTTCACTACTCACCTGTAAAACTAATTGACTTGCTTACATGCAACATCCGAAGCCAAGAAAATAGTTGCAGCAATTTCTTCCAAGATGTTAAACCTGTGAAGTAAGGTACCCTTCTCAAAGCCTTCTTTTATAATAAATTTCAATTCAGAATCAGATTATGACAAAGGAAAGACTCAAATTTAGCATGACAGAGCTTGAACAAAATGTTACATATATATTCTTATTGTGACCTCATTTGCAGTGATGGCAAAACGGGTCCATAGAAAGCTACGAGCAATACAATTGAAATAAATATCAGGGGCCATTTCAGTTGGAGAGCTTGGAATAGAAAAGAATAAAGGAAGACGAAGAAGGACACAATATACAAACTTAGAATTTATATAAACGAACAAACCTCAAACACCAAACATTGGTCAACCCAATAACTGTCTTAGTAACCCCATACATAGCCATAGAAGGTTTTGATTGATAACCATCAAGTGATAAAATAAATATAACAAATAAATCTTTCTACAAATGAGGAGCTGTATCTTATATGCATAAAGAAATAGATTATATATGAATCTTTAAGTCAAACAAAGTAACATAAATTCAAGGAAGTGACCTACTATAAACTATTATGAGGGTAAGCTATGGTAATTAAGGACATTCAGGCCGCTATCTAATAAGACTACAATGAAAATGTGTAAAACAATAGCCATGTTAGGGAACAACATAAATCTAACGTTATCAACTATGTTTGTAATGTAATAAGTGGGGTGGTAAAGAAAGGATCCATCTGCTCATTCTTTTCAACCCCTGCCACCCCATTTCTTTCCACTGATCAGATATCAAGCCATGAAACTCCTGTCCATGGTATATAAATCCAAATGCATGCAACAAAAACAAAAAGGAAATCAAGAAGAAACTTAAACTTACTCTTATTAGAGCATTGATTCCACTAATATAACTAACTTATGAGAAAACCAAACAAAAAAAAAAAGATACATATCAGAAAAGATATTTGGCCAGATTATACAACCTGTTATGCCATAGATTTTTTTAGCCCATTTTTTGATCTTACATTTATGACATTACTTATCCTAACTGCTACTAAACAAAAAATTAGAGATTATTTTTGGGTAATTACAAATGCTATGACCAATCCCATAATGCAAATTAAAAAAAAAATTGAATTCAATTAGTGAGTGACCTTGCAGCAATATATAGACTTAAAATGGCATATCTTAGTTCTTGTTTCCTTTTCAATTATTTGATCAGGAGCTCTTGTTTCCTTTTCAATTATTTAATCAGGAGTTGAAGTCTCACAATCTACTAACATGGCTAAAGAAAATTTTCTTAATTGAAATCTTGCAATGTAATTCCGCCAAATGAGCTATATTTATCATTTTTCAATTAGCTCGTATTGTTCTAGATGCTTTATTTCTAAAGAAACTTTTCCTATCCTATTTTATTATTAAATCTATTAACAGCCCAAATGCACCATTAACATAGCCACAAAGCAAAATAGAGTGTTTGATAAGAATCAAACTTAATACAATCTAGATTTTTCTAAGAAAATCTTAATACATGATATCCATACAAAGTTTTACTCAAAAAATAAAAAAACTTCTTATTTCAGTCCACCAACAGAAGGCACAACATGCTTAACTGGATGATCAAACCAAGATGCAACCATACCAATAAAAAATTAGTCTTCCTTACCTTTTTTCCTCTTAATTTTTCCTCCTCTTTTTGATTTGGCACTGTTGAAATGTGGCTTTAGTAGTCATTGAAGCCAATAGAAACACAAAAAGAAAACCAAAATTTAATTAAAAAATTCAAAAGAAAACTTAAAAATAAGCTTCCCAAAAATATACCTTTTCTCTTTTAATTTTTTTTACATTAGGTTTTGTTTTCACGAGATCTTTCTTCCTCCAAGCTTCAACAATGCTGTGCACAAAACAATCATTACCCAAAAATCAACAAATTAAACTGAAAAATCAACAAATCCTTAAAGTCTCACCCAGAATTAAAAAAAAAAGAAGAAAATTGACCATAAAAACCATAATTTGGAGCTCTGATTTAAACTAAAAAAACACGAACATGGTAACGACACCTTTTCTTCTTTTCATCTTCCTATTTTCTCTTTCTTTCTACACCATCGCAGAGCTTTTCTTTACTCTTTTATAAAACTCTCTAACCTATCCTCGCATTCCCAAAATGCCCCAATCAACCCAACCTAAAAATAAAACAGATTGAAAAAAAGTAACCCAACAGACACCAAACCAAAAAACCGATCGAAACAAAATTAACTTCTCAATGAAAAAGTAGAAGCAGGAATGAACATCAGACGATTAACTTCTCACATATAATCATCTCTTCCCAAATTACCCCTCCAATCATTTTCATGACATATATGAGCTGGACAGTAAATCTAAGATCGGGACAGTTTTAAATTTTCTTATTGATTAGCCATAATTCTAAAGCTATAAACAAAAGAATCGGGAGAAAATCCATTGCCTTCACGTGCCTAATTGAAGAAATTCGATGTCATTTTTTTAGGTCCTCTGACTTATCAGACCAGTAGTTGGTAAGTATGAGATGGAGCAAAGAGTTAGATTTTGTAGAGAAGTAAAACCCTAGATGAAAGTTTAGCAAATGAGAAGAGTGTTTGAAATGAAAGAAGTTAAGAAAAGCAATAGAAGCGACTCACTTGAGAGGAGAAAGAAAGAGTTGAACTGACTCGAGGGGAGAAGCGAGTTTCCAAATCTAAGAGAGGCGAGGTTTAGTTTAGATTAATTCATGGCTGCTGTTTTCTTTCACATATGTCTTTTTTTTTTTTTGGTATCATACTTCAAGTTAGTTGGAAAACTCTCTTTTAATCTTTTGTTTATCTTTATCTTTTATTTCTAAATTACCCTTCCAATTATTTTTAATAACAACATATCGTCATTAAAGAGTTGGGACAGTTTTAATTCATTTTATTGATTATAGATAGCCATGTTCTGAAACGACATTTTGGATAATTTGCTTTCAATTTCTGTCTTTTTCTTTGTATATATGATTTCTACACTTCTCTCTGTCCACCCTTTACCATTCCAAGGGTTTTTCCATCTCTTTTTCGGGTTTTACACCCTCTATTTTCATTTTCTCTGTTTGTTGTGGCTTTCTTGACCAATACCTCTCTCCATGTGCTCTCCCCCACCGCACCAGGATGGGGGCTTCCACCGTCCAATTTCTCTCTTCCAATCGCCCGCTGTTGATCAATTCTCCAACGGCTACGATCACCGCCTTCCCTCCAAGCGCAAGTTTGACGACTATGCCCTTTCTTTTGATAACGACCAAGACGACGAGGCTCCCTTAGTCCCCGTCAGATTACGAAAAGACGATCACCACCATCAAGGCACCCATCCGATCACAGCCGTTCATACCTCGTCGAAAGCTCCCTCTTCCTCCTTCTCTGCCTCCCTCATAGATTTCCGCCCTTCCTCATCCGGTGTTCCCTCATCGTCCGCCACGTGTTCCTCATCGCGTCTCCAATTCTTCATCCGGATGATCTCGGAGGGAAACACCATGGTTGTCCAAGCTAATTCGGAGGACACCGTGAAATCCCTCCACGAACGGATTCGGGTGATGACCGGAATTCCAGTGATCGAACAACGCCTAATTTATTGCGGGAAACAGCTACAGTGGGAACAATCCCTAGCTGATTGCGCCATCCAAAAGGACGCCGGTCTCCAACTCGTCGGCCGTATGCGATCGACGGACCACCCACAAACCTGGCAGGTCATGGACGACATGATCTCCCTCATTTGCCGCCTTTGCCGAGGAGAAATAGTCCCTTCCTCAACCAAACGCATCAAAGAATGCTTGACCAAGTTCTTCACAATTACTCCGAAGGACAATAACGACTCTGCCCCTGCTCACTTGCAGATTTTCATGGCATCTTCGGCCCCTGCCGCTTTGGTGATGCTTTATATGTCTACGATTAACAGTAACAAGCAGTGTGCTGATACTTCAATAAGACATTTCCTAACTTCATGTAGGAGTGCATTATCAAAACAGTTGCATTCTTGTTGTGCACCGATAGTATTAGAGTTTTGCAAGTTACTTAGGAAGGTTGTTAATGAGGATAGTTTGTATGCGTCATGCCGGAGTACACTCGGGGTGTTGTTGGAAAGTGCTGGCACTTCCTGTGCTTTAATGCTCCCAGAGGTTAAACGGTTGATTGTCATGCAAGACATTTTCTCCTTTGTTAGTGAGTTGGCTGATAATTTATCTAATGATTTGGATTCTAGTGTAGATTCTACCACCAGTGGGGGACCAATATCGAGTGATGTAAGGGATTTCAAAGCATTCTTGAACCCTTTACGGTCTGCCATTCTTGAGCAAGTGCGGATTCCGATATCAGTTGAGTGGCAAAAGAAGGATTACAACCATCCTCCCTACGGAGATGAGATTGAGTTTCTTCATTCTATATTTAATGATTTGTTGGATAAAATGGAAAAATGCCTTATAAAAATGGAGGAAAGCTTTGCTACGAGAGGAAGCAGTGAAGGTGAATTTCTTCACTCAGGGTGGTCTCAGTATCTTGTCATTTTGAAGGAACTGAACGGCATCTCAAAACTTTATCAGGGTGCTGAAGAGCAGTTTTGGATGGTTTTGAGGAACAGAAAATCTTCGTTGTGTGCCTTAATTATTAGGTTTGCAAAACGAAATGATGATAATCGGTGGCTACTTGAGCACAAGGATGTTACTGATTTTGAATCCAGGAGGCATTTGGCCATGATGATGTTTCCTGAGGTAAAAGAAGATTACGATGAATTGCATGAGATGCTCATTGATAGGTCTCAGTTATTGGCGGAATCATTTGAATACATTGCGCGTGCTGACCCTGAATCACTGCATGCTGGTCTATTCATGGAATTTAAAAATGAAGAAGCTACTGGCCCTGGTGTACTGAGGGAGTGGTTTTTCTTGGTATGCCAAGCAATATTCAATCCAGAGAATGCCCTTTTTGTGCCTTGCTCAAATGATCGTAGAAGATTTTTTCCTAATCCTGGTAATCTTCCTCTGAACTTCTAAACTTCTTCCCCTTACCATTCTGCCTCAAGATAATGTATTTCTTAGTCTTGCTTTGCAAGGGAGAGACAGGATTTTTCGAAGCTCATTGTGAAATATGAGATAATTACAAGCAATATTTAATTTGTTTTTGATACTGTTATTAGATTTGTTTAAAGTATGTGCTTTTTATCCGTTTGATGTAGAATAAGAACAGAATGAATTTTAGAGGGACTTGATAAGTAGGAGAAATTAAGACCTTTTACTGCTCACTTTATCTATCATTTGTCTGTGTCTGTGTCTGTGTCCGTGTCCCCTTGTTTTGATTATGAACATGGATTCAGGTAGTAGAAAGGTAAAATCTTGAGGACTGCCTTTGCAACTATTACTGGTTATATTATTTGCTGGCTCTGGCATGAGCGAAAGCACAATTACTAACTCATGTCAAACGTTATGCCTTGAAAGATGCACGGTGTACTTTGTACATCTTCTTAATGACGCAAAGAGGTATCCTCATAGTCCCATTAAGTGTTGAGGAGTTCAAACATGCCTGAATTGTTTACTAAACTCTTTTGTTTGTTTGCCCATTTTTCTTCCTATACTTTCTCTTTTCTTAAGTGAGACCTATGATTTATTTCCAATATTGATTGTTTCTCAATATGAGCGGATTCTTCTGCTCAGGCCCTCAAGTATAAAATTACACTGATGAGTCATTCAAGGGTTTTATGTCTCTAGTTTTCATTAGGTTTTGGGCTGCTTTAAGAAAAGTTGTTTCCTTTCTGAGCCTAACTATGATATTCTATTGAAATACAATGAGCCTTTCTATTTCTCTCCACTGTTGTGAGCTTCTTGTTGTGTCATTCCCTAGTTTTGCTCAATCTCTGCAATTTAGGCCAAATAACTAGCACACAACATGATAAGTGGTGATACCAGAAGTGTCTGATTCATTGGACATAGCAACTCACGTGTTACAGCATTCCTATTTGAAACCCTCCCAAAAGCTATATTTCATCAGTATTAAACAAAGACAGCAGCCAATTTCTAGCTTGAGTTTTGAGATGCAAAAGAGGCAGAAAGGAGAATGATGCAAGAATGGGAAACAATAAAAAGGGAGAGAGAAAGAGAGAGAGAGAGAGAGAGAGAGAGAGAGAGAGAGAGATCCGAGATGATAAGAAGTATGAGAGAAAGTAAGGCGCTGAATCTGGTGGAAAACAAAGATTGTGAGAGAGTGAGATAGAGGTACATTGAGAGAAGAAGAATGAATATTTGATTCTGTTTGATATTTCTGTAATCAATGGTTACCAACTGTGCATGATCAAACTTGTCTGCTTCTCCATTGGATTATGCAATTGACATCAAGATATTGATCAATTTTTTGGCATTGCCCCTGAAACCTAGTTCTGCTTGTTGCTTGTTTGAGAATATTTTCTTTTATTTTAAAGTTGTAGTCTGCAAAGACACTGTAATGCCTTACGAGTTAGGTGGATTTCCTTCTTAGTCTGGCCCAGGTATATGTTCCTTATGTGTTTTCTTCTATACGCAGCATCTAGGGTGGATCCTCTGCACCTTGAATATTTCAATTTCGCTGGCCGTGTGATTGCATTAGCATTGATGCATAAAGTGCAAGTAGGTGTTGTCTTTGATCGTGTATTTTTCTTACAATTGGCTGGAATGCATATATCTTTGGAAGATATACAAGAGGCAGATCCATGCTTGTATAGCAGCTGCAAGAAGATTCTGGAGATGGATGCTGAGTTTATTGATTCAGATGCTTTAGGACTGACATTTGTTAGAGAAGTTCAGGAGCTAGGATCCAGGAGAGTTATGGAGCTCTGCCCTGGTGGAAAAAGCATTGTTGTAAATAGCAGGAATAGGCAGGAATATGTTAATCTTCTTATTCTGGATCGCTTTGTAACATCTGTTTCTGAACAGGTGCACCATTTTTCCAAAGGTTTTGGCCATATTCTTTCTGACTCAGGGCTCCAGAATTCCTTTTTTCAAAGTTTAGAGCTTGAGGACCTTGATTGGATGCTATATGGAAGTGAAAGTCCCATTTGTGTTGAAGACTGGAAGGCACATACAGAATACAATGGCTACAGAGAAAATGATCCTCAAATAACCTGGTTCTGGGAGGTATGGACGTATAATCATGTCATGGTCTTGGTATCCCTTTATTATTATTTTTGAAAAAAAACTATTTCTTTTCTATTAATTATTCATGCTCCTTGTCAGATATTTACAGTCTTGTTTCAAAAAACAGGGACCTATGGAACAAGGATGACTATATCTTAAATTAAAGAAACATTGTCAATAATGCTACAACTAGTTAGAAAATGGCATCCATAGCCTTTACTTCTGTCCTTCCTCATTCGATGACTTGATTTGTCATCTAGGTTTGCATATATGTGAGTAGATTCTTAAAACTATTAGATAAAAAGCTGAATTGCACTACTATAGTGATTGAGACACTACCTTAGGAGGCAAGAATAAGTTCACAATGTTTTTGATGTTTATGAACCGACTATTAATGCCCAAGAAGTAGTATGGTGCATGATTCTTCAGCTGTAAAAGTATTCGTGATAATACTAATTGAGGTTAAGGCAGTGATGAAACTGTTGTTAATGATTGCTTCAGTATTTTAGTTTTTGTCTGCTTGGAGAACGATATGTATCTAGTAGTATCAAATTATTCAGGCTTTGACATCGACCATAATTAATAATATATCAATAGATAAAAACAAAGTGATGAAGTGGGACATGTGCAATAGGTATAGTTGTCTAATTACTTAGTTATATGAAACTCTAGGGTTTTTCCATTTTCTCCCGATAATTTGCTAGCTCAAGTTCAAAATATTGCAGATTGTTAGGGGAATGTCAGCAGAGCAAAGGAAGGTACTTCTTTTCTTCTGGACCTCCGTGAAATATCTTCCTGTTGAAGGTTTCCGGGGTTTAGCCTCTCGGCTTTATATTTATAAGTCCTCAGATCCCCATGAGCGTCTTCCTTCTTCTCATACCTGCTTTTACCGGTTGTGTTTCCCAACATATCCCTCCATGGCTGAAATGCAAAAACGTCTTAATGTTATTACTCTGGAACATGTTGGCTGCAGCTTTGGTACCTGGTAAAACGTTAATTACATTTGCATCTGGGGTAAAAAGGGTTTTTGATTGCACATAGAAAAAATTGTACTAAGCTTGTACAGGTTGTAGGATAATATTTTCTGCTTTATCATTAGACTATGTAAGAAGGTGATGAAGTTAATTGTCTTTCCTTCACGAGATGTCATTGCTTTTTTTTTTCTTCTCGAATCAACTGTTTATATAGGTATTGCTTAAATAAGGCAGGGGGCAGGATGGAAGAATTGCACACTTGCCTGGACTTTGCTGGCCTCAGCTGCAACAGCTTTCGTGTAATTACTCAGCTGTTCTACTTGTAATCTGCCTTTTAGGGTGTATCTGCTTATAGAACTTGGAAGGTTACGGTTTCATTTTGTTTCAAACAACTTCCGGAAATGAAAGAAGAAAAATATATTATGAATGTTGAAATATCCGAAGAAATCGAATTTACCAAAACTTGGAATTTCTCTGTTATAAGGAGCATGATTGGCTAGTACCAAAAAAGAAAAGAATAAAAAAAAAAACCATTGGCAGATGCCTCGCTGCATTTGCCCTCAGCTGAAATCTCACAGGCAAGGGCATTAATCAGGTCATCTGTTCCTCTCACACAATCCCAAGTTCGCATTTGCACCAACTTCACGTTAATCATAACGAGGCATATGGAACTGGGGGTGCTTCTCTATCGTCTTTGCGAATATGTAATAAGTTTATTTGTAATATATACTTATCAACCTAACGTAAAGAGGAACTTGAGTTGGAATATACTTGTGAAAATCAATTTGCATCGTAGATCCCGTAATGATTCACCTTTCTTAGACTAATCAATGGCAAGCCCAGCATCCATTCATGATGATGGCAAAGTGCCTATGCTAGGGCTTAAGATTTCAACTTATGCTTAAAAAAAGAAAAAGAAAAAATTTAGGAAGATGCTTATTCAAAATCTCAAACGATTATAATAATAAAAATGAATAGAAGGAAATTAACTTTAATAAGACTGGTAAAATTGCTAACACGAAGAAGTAAAGAAAATTTATAAGGCATGTGATTAGACAAAAATATATCTTTATTATGCAAATATAGAGAGATCACATGATCTCATCATCACGCCATATCAAACTCATCATCTTCTTCACTCTCTTAGAACACCAACAATGCAAACAGCCCATACCCTTCAAAACAACTTAATTCCTTCTAAATGTAAAACCCATATAATTCTTCCACCAGCATGGTATGTATGCGTGTTGTTGACCCTGGAGTTACCCAAATGTAAGTTTAATACTATATCAAACCCCACAGAAAAAAAAAAAAAAAAAAAAAAAAAAAAAAAAAGGAAGAAAAAACCTCCTCATCCCCGCATCCTCCATAGTTGTAATAAATAATACGAGTGACACTTGAAATTTGCCAACTTTCACATGCAACCTAAAAAAGAAGCCCTTCAAACAATGCCACCTTCTGTATGGTTGCTCTATTCCTCAGCCTTCTCAACAGTTACTTCTTCTGCTTTTTCAGCTGCCTTTTCCTCCTCGATTGGTTTCTCCTCCTCTGCTGCAGGAGCTGCTGGTGCTTCCACGGTGGGCTCTGTGGTCTCTGCTTTGGCCTCCTCTGCAACTGTTTCTGGTTTGACCTCTGGAGTCTCTTCCGTTGTCTCCTCTGCAGCTGGCTTCGCTTCCCCATCAATCTTGGCTTCTTCTACAATTTCTTTGGCATCAACTTCAACGGGAGCTTCGGCTTTGGGAGCTTCGCTTTCCTCTGCAGCAGGGACATCGGATGTTGTTTCCTCCGTTTGTTCAGTCACTGTCTCAGCCACAGGAGCTGCAGCTGCTGGCTCCTCTTTTGGTGTCTCCTCAAACTTGGTCAGCTCTGGTGTCTCATTCTCTGGCAATGCTGTTGCAGCTGGTTGAACCTGGAAGGCCCGAAATCATTTTATTCCGCATGAAGTTATGAGAATCTTGAATAGATCATTGAGATCACTGAAATCAATGATCAACTAAGATATATTAATGTTGTTCTAAATGTGAAAGAAGGTTCATGTTACTTTAGTTGATTATCGATCCTTTGGTTTCATTCCATTACTGAACGTAAGGGAAAAGGATTAAAAAGCTATTGAAAGTTATATAGGATTTTGCCTTATCAGTTCAGCATACCCAAGCCGCTGTCACCGTATTGAAGAATCATGACCAGTTAAGTTTCGAAGGACGAAAAAGAGATCAATTAAATATCCAAGACTATTAATCTAAAACCTGCTCGAAAGCTTGGCAAAAAGCCCAAGATGGACTACTCGTTGAACGTACTCTGGAACTATCAGCTTATTATCAAAGACAAGATACATACCAACAGATCCATTTCATTTGAACAAGATCGATCAGCTATAGGACTACATAACTAAACAACAAGCTTAATCGCAGGTTACGCGATGGAATTAATTGATGATCTATCATAAGATATCCACCCAAATGAGAAGAAAAAAATTGAAAAACAAAACACTATATATAAACCAAAATATTAGTATTTCGATTACCTCAACACTGGCCATTTGGGAATAAGCAAAGGAAAGTGCAAGGGAAATTGAAGAAAAGATTGAAAAGAGTAAATGAATATAAGGGATGAGCAAGAGCAGTAGTGCTTAGAGTATAGAGAATATATAGTTGATGAATGTGAGAGGTATATATAGAGAGGGAATTAGAATTGAGAGAGATGAGGAGCATGAGCAATTGAAAGAATCTTTGGCAAATTGGCTCTCATGTCACTGACACTAAGGACATAACCATTGTTTAGTTGTAAATAATGTTTCTACATTTCTCAATAAAATATTAATTAGATAATAATATTTTTGGGTATAAATTAAATAGAATTATTACTATCAAACATTGAGTTGGTAAAGGTATATGGTGGAGGCCATTTCTCATATCAGCATCATATCTAATTTCTTTTGAGTGGGTCGCTCTGTATGATCATCATGCTTTCATGTTCTTAGCTAGCTAATGCTATTTCTTTTGCTTTATTTATTTTTTTTATGAATCTTTTTCTTTAGTTTGTTCAATTGATATTCTGATGAATATATTTACCTTTACTTAAAATAAATAAATATATATAGTGATAATAATTATGGTAAACCTATATATATGGATGAAAATCTCTACCAAATTAATAGTTGAAAAATATTTGATTCAAAAGAAAATCTCAAAATTTTATATTAAGAAGCTCAACTATTATCCATCTATATATGAGGCATGTATATGTATAAAAGTTTTTGTTAACCCAAGTTTCTCATTAATGAATAAATGATTGAATGAATGAATTAATTAATTATCACTTAACACGCAATATATTTGCATTCCTAAAATTCAGTTTGACATTTTGAATGTATCAAAAACCAATTGATTTTTTTTTTCCTTCGAATAAAGCCAATTTGAATTAGTAGATGGATAATATATGGTCTTCTATATATATATATATATATATGTATATAGCTTAGTATTTTGTAAGCACACAAACCCACCAATGTGGGACAACTAAATTGTAGGCTAATTATGCAAGTGTAGATCAATATTTTTTAAACCAAATAATTAACTCGACAACAACAAATGGATGGCGCACCAAATTTAAAAAAAAAAATGGAATTGCCACCGTTGTTGCTATACACAATAATACATAGGATAACAAAATGAAATGTGTTGGAGTGAATTGGAATTGGAATAATTGTGGGTGTAAAACTGTTGGGGTCAAATGTTTACCTAATTTTAGGGTTTTTCACCTTCCACTTTGCTTTAGCTCCATCCGACATTTCATAATTGATGAGACTAAAATAGGTGAATGCTGGTGTAGAAAACGAGCCAAAGAGAAGGCAACAACGGAGTCTAGGACGGTGGCAAAGCAGGGACCCACAATCACTAAATGCGATCATTGCCATCCAACAAAAGGCCCACTCTCCAATCTTTGCTGCCGTGGCCTGCTTTTCCACCCATGATTCACCCCACTCCCCTCTTTTCCTTCGCTTTGGCCCTTCAGCAACCGCCCTTTCTAAAGATGAACCTTTTGTGGCCCCCATGCTCGATGCTTTCCAGATCAGACTCTCGTGACACTGGTCCCCACTACTTAGCCGTCTGATTTGCCGCGCATGATCGCTCTGATCATGTCCTCGTATAAAGCCACGACCCAAGTCCCAACCTTCCTTGTCACCAATACACCCATGGAATAGTCCCGTACCTATCAGAATTCCAAGGCTAATTTCTTCTAATCTCGACAAAGGTTTGCAGTGACTTTATGCACTTACCACTACTATTACCAGTACTATGATTCATCGTGGATCTCTATTTTAACCTCAATTTTGGACGTAAATGATAATGCTTCATCGAGATTTGCGCATCATCATGTCGCTAGATTCACTATTTGTGCACTTGGTTCTTGTGATTTTGATTGGAAAAATGGTTTCAAACTCTTTCCCACATGTATAGCACTAATTACACTGTTAAGAGCTATTAGTTCTAAAAAAAAAAAGTGTTAGATTATTGGTCAGAATTTTATTTTTTAATTTAGTTAACAAAATCTAATTTTAAAGATTTTTTAAAATTTTTAATAGCCTTAAAGAAGAAAAACTGATAACCTTAAATCAAAAACTCTATTCTCCTTTAGATTTTATAAATTTTTTGATGAAATATAAAATTTATCCCACTTTTATCTCAATAATATTTTTTATAATTTATTTTATCTTTGAATATTAACATAATTACATGATAAATCGAGACCTATTTTTATATGTGAAGATGCATTCTAATCCATATAATTGAGCATCTGTAATGATCATGTATAATTAATTTTTTATAAATTTAAATATTTGATTTTAGCTGTTAAATTTTTAAAAAGATAATATTTTATAATTATAAAACGTAATTGATCATGTATAAAATAAAATTGAAATAAGTTCAAAAATTTTCATTTACACAATGTTAGTTATATTAGAAACGTAATCATATGTTATACTATATTATGAAAATAATTTATTATAATAAAAACATCATTTTTAAAAGAAAAAGAAATGTTGGAAATAAAGATTTAACATTTTTAATTTAGTTTCTGAAACACTACGTCTTTTTACATGTAAAATGTAATTAATATTTTGTCAAATAATAATGAAAAAAATTATTATAAAAACAACTTTTCTTTTTTAGATTTTTAATATTAACAACTTTTTTTATTATAGAAATATAATAATTGATAAAAAAAATAATGTTGTTTTTATATAAAAATGTAATAGTTATAAAAAATACATAGTGAAATTTTTTTTTTTATTTTGAATTAATATTTTCTAAAACATATAAATCATAGTAATTGATCACTTGGCAATGATAATGTTTTCTACATATAAAACATAGTTGATTATAAAAATAAGTAACAATATAAATTTTATATTTTTGGATATCAACAATGTTTCTAATTATGAAAACTAATAAGTGATAAAATGTAGTAATTGATCAATGATCACTTGACAATGATTATGTATTGACAATGATTATGTTTTTTACATAAAAAAACGTAGTTGATAGAAAAAAAATAACAAAATAAATTTGTATTTTTTTATATCAACAATATTTTTTATTCTAAAAATGTAATTATTGATAAGATGTAGTAATTGATCAATTATCACCTAGCAATAATCACATTTTTTATATGTAAAATGTAGTTGATAGTAGAAAATAATTAAAAAATAAATTTATATTTTTTGATATCAAAAATGTTTTTTTATTCTGAAAACGTAGTAATTGATATATCTATTTTCTTTTCCTATTTAATGATGTATAATTATTCTCTTTCATAAAAACCAATAGCTTTGGTCAAACCCTATATCGCAATATTTTTTATTTCACAAAATATCAGCTTCACGCTTTTAGTGGGATTTCATTTTCATTCACTTCAATTTAGCTTATCTTTTATCTTTATCCTATTAGTCTACTTTCGATTTTCTATAATCGAGTTTAGGTTTTTCTTTATATTATTTGTTTGCCTCAGATGTATTCTAGATATTTACTAAAGTGGCTTAGATCTTGATCTATTAAATGTTCTTGATCAATGATATGTGTTCTCACTATTTTTCATATGTTTGATGTAGCTTAGATCTTGATTTACTAAATGTACAATGTTGCTTTTGACACGTGTTTTCAACATTAACAAAAATTTTCTTGTAAACAGTTATAACTTATTTATCACTAAGAGAGCAAAGTCAATTAGTAATAGTGCTTATTTTGCCAATGAAGTAGATTGAAAGTGTGTTTCAAGTGTTGCTTATTGTTGTCATGGCATTAGTTACTAGGTAGCTCATAAATAGATGTAGAATCTCTCATACTAATGAAACTTTTGATAGATTTCATATTAGGTCATTGAACTTAAATTAAAAAGCCTTTAAGAGTGATAGGCAAAATGTGAATAATTGTAAAATGGATAGAAGCGCTTTGCAAAATTATATCAGTTGCTTCAAACACAAGAAAGATTAATGGCAGTTAAAAATATAACAATAAAAGAAATAATTATTATCTTTTTTTATATCATTAGACACCATACAAATTATAGGGTTATGAGGCGTTAAATAGTTAAATCTATAGAGACAAGTAGTAAGCAATTTAATGCTTTATTGAAATTATTTTGAGATTACATTCCCTATTATTTAAGAAACCAAAACCAATAGCAAAGAATTCAATAAATAATAAATGAAAATGATTTAAGGTAATGCATTAATTATTGCTTGCAATGACAATAATAAATGTTAAATCTAAATTTTGTATAATGTATTAAGATGTATTAATCAATGCTTTTGAGTTTAAGGTTGTTTGAGTGCCTTATATGAAATTTATATAAGGGTGAATGTAGACTCAATATACATGTCTAAGAAAAATGAAATTACTACAAATATTTTTGGTGTTTGTACACTAGACATGCAATTATTTTATGTTTTACTAAGATGACAAGGTTCTGTAATAGGTAATAGAGTATTCAAGGATGCCATTACACATAGAAATGGTTTAAGGATACCGTAATGTATTAGCTTTTGTACTTAAGATTTAGTCATGCCATGAAACACATTTTAAATGTATATTAATGCATTGTGACACTAGACTAGGTTTTTACTATTTGTGTGATGCTGAATACACAAATGAAAAAAAATTTTGATACTTTATAGAGGTCAAATATACCAATTGAGTGATTGAAGGTCATGACCCAATCTACAATAACCTAGGAATACTTCAATATGAAACACTCTCAAATACAAAATTGCATTGAAAGATGTTTTGGTTTATTAAAAACTAGATAAACAATTGTAAAGGAGAAATCATTTTATCTAATTAAAACAAAATATAGAATCATTTATGCTTGTTCCCTTTTCTCATAATTTTATTAGGTTTGAAATGTTAATTGATCTTATTATAAATGATGTTGGTGAAGTGAGTAATAGCTAGGTAAAATGTATTGATGAACAAGATTTGATTAGGCACATTAAACCAAGTGATGCCTAGACTAAGTTTAGAGACAAGTTGGCAAAGAATATATTCACAAGTTGGCTACAATCCAATGGTTAAGGATAATTTGTTTAATTTTTTACCAGTTTGATTTCTGACATTATTTAGTATATTATATCTTAAGTATACTATTTATTTTATACATTTGTTTTATTTTTATATTATTTGATATATTTTTTATTTGATATGATGTAGTTGACTTTTGTTTTGCTTTTAATATTTATTTTTTAC